ATACAGCTGTGGCCCATCATTTCAAAGATAAATGATGTCAAGCTGCCAAGATGTGATTCTGGGTTAACAGGGGCAAAAATAAAGCTGTGGCCAAATGAAAAGGAAACATTGTTTTGTATTTTGAAACTGATTAAGTATCTACACACAGAGACCCACTGAAGTCCTAGAACTAGGCATCCAGATCAGTAAGTACTGACCCAAACAGCTCTCTCCCAAAACAATTACACCTTAACTCATCCCTGCTGGTAGTGGTAGCAGTAAAACAGTACTTGAGGTTGCCTCATGGTGGTTCTCTGGGAAAGGAAATTTCATTCAAAAGCACCACTGTAGTCCAAGTCTGCATGTCTCAGGTGCTCAGAAGCTGGCAACAGCCCACCCCACAGTGATTCTACTGTGCCAGGTCGAGCTTTGCGATGTGTTGTTATTAGTCTGAGGTGAACTGTAAGAGACACTATGGCTGTCTAAACCAGGAGTTAACTGCAGCACCCACTCCCCTGCCCTCAATCCCAGTTTTCTTTCCAATGAAAACCAGGAAGCATGGCAGGGATGAGAGGGAAGAGAGGGCAGACAGTTACACACCCAGGCTGTATCCTGACAAGCAAGCAGGATGTGACTGCAGCGCACATCTGGGCCTCTGAGCTGGAAAACAGTTCCAGGCCTCACAGTTCAGATGCACCTCTATGCTTCAAAGGTTGTTGTGAGCATGAAATTGCCCTGTGGCTGGCTATAAAGCCCAAACAACTGACTATGTGAGACCCACCCCATTTTCAATTGGCATAGTGCTGTGCTGCTGCATTGACAAACTCACAACAAGGGCTTGGGCATGCGGTTTCTCTTATTGTCATTGAGGAAACTTCCTTGGCTCCTGCAATGACCTCCAAACCTTGCTGGACAAGGACAAGGTCACTATGCTGTGGTAAATTCTGAGGTGGAGGCTGGTAGAAGCAAAGGCAAATATAACAATTACTGCAGGAAAGCAAGCTGGTAGTCATTGTTATCATTATTATATGTAGCAGTACTTGTATTCCCATGAAGACTAAAGACCATAAGTGAGACTAAGGGGAGGATTAATTCTGCTAGGTGCTGAACAAACCTCGAGTGACCCTCCACCCTTGCAGTTTACAAGTGTAAGCTGGGCTCATGTAAAGAAAAATCTCTAAAGATGCAGCATTTACTTGTCTGCTTTTTTGCTATAAATGCCTTCACTTATTTAAAGATCAGAGAACTGGAAAAGAGATCAAACCAAGAAAGGCTGGAGTCTGCAAGGAACTGTGTGGCTCAAGTCTACAAATTATGATTTTATAGAGTTAATCAGGTTTTAGGAGTGATGCAGACCATGATAAACAAATCAAGGCAAGAAGGAGAGAGGTAGGAAATAAATTTCAAAGGATTATGACTCTGGATCAGGTTATTAAGAAGAATCTTCATGCATGCCCATGAAACCACAGACTGCATTCTCTCTTTAGATCATGTAGGCGTCGCTAAGCAGACAAGAAGGAAAAAATTCTCCTACCGGAGCTCTGTCAATAAAGAAATGTGAATAAAGGTTCAGCTGATTAAAACAATTTCCCAACACAGAGGATAAAATATATTTTACAGGGTGGTCTATAACTTCTTTCAGTGACAACCCTTCTCCTCTCAGTTACAAGTGATTACTTAGTTTTTCAATAGCTATGTTGGAGGCACCCATCCATTTAATATTTGAAATTTTTCATACATAAATCCCTTCTGAATAGGCAGTGTGTGTTTAAGATTTTACTAAATGAATAGGGACAAATTCTGCTCTTTGAAAATTTGACATAAATCTGAAGTATCTGCCCTAATATAGACTTAAACTTGTTGTTAAATCAGAGTAAATGAGAGCACACTTTGGCCTCATAATATCCAGCACAGAGGCAGGAATACAATACACGAAAGGGTTACTTTCTAACTGCTTGTAAGATTTAAGGCAGATAAATAAATAATAAAAAGTCTTTGTTTTTGAAAGGAGATATTCAGTCTACCCAAGGCACCATCCAAGTCATTAAAGGATTCCCAGGTGCCAGTATTTGGAAAGGGTATTAGCTATTCAAACAGTTTAGGCAGAGGTCTCTGCTGTTCTCTCTCCTGGGTCATCTCAGATTTCGTCAATCTCTGCCCAGAACTGAGCACAGGCAGGAAAGAAAGGCTGGAAATTTCAGAGGAGCAACATTTTCTCCAGAACTAGAAAGAACATATTTTTCAGTCTTGCAGTAAAAATGAGGAAAACCCTCCTTTGCTAGTGCAACTGCAAGGCTGGCTGGGCAAGGACCACATCCTGCACATGGAAGGACAGACTCTGCAGCAGTGCTGTGCAGGGAGCCCTCTTTTCCTCCCCTTTTCAGATATAATTTACCTGGCCCGACTCTATTACTGGGAAAAGAAACCACACAAAAGTGTCAGCACGATGCAGCTGGGTTGTTCAAACAAAGCAGTTCAGCAGCAGGTGGGAAGAGCAAATCCACACAAAGGCAAAAGGCTTGCTGAGGGGATGGTTGAGCTATGCTGACAAGAGCCTGTGCCCCAGAGACGGGGATGCAAACACCTCTCCGGTGTTTGATGCTTGGAGGGCGCAGACAGTCATCTGAAGCCATCCACTCCACCTGAGTTGGTCTCTGGCTCCTGCACGTTTTTAAAGGTTAATAGTTTTAAGCAGGTGCCTGAGACTGAGCAGGAATTTCAGACTGGGAAGTATTTTCCTGAGGGGGAAAAAAAAAGGCGTTGGAAATAGCCATCACTATAGAAAGTGACATGAGAAAAGGCCAGTGGTCTCTGACTATCTGGCAAAGGGAGAGATGCGGATGTCTCCAACGGGAATAAGCTCTGCCTAGATGAAAGTAAAGCTTACTAGAAGGAGGATTTTTTCTGAAAACGTCATCTTTACTTAATGAGATCTGCCTTGTCAATTGTTCTGATCCCAGAGTCCCCCTGGATCCACTTCCTCATTTCTGCTCCGGGCTCTCAGGCAGTAGGCCAGAAACGCTCATCCCATCATCAGCTTGCCACATGTTTTTCTCACACATCACCCAGGTCTTTGTTGCCCCTGTGCTTAACGGTTAGAGAGGTTCTGCCTGGAGCCACCTGCAAGCTGCAGACTTGTTGGCCTTTCTTCCAAGGACAATAAACCTTGTTACACCAAGACTGTGCTTACTGATGGCTGCTGATTCATTCCTCTCTGTGATACGTAGTCTTGGTCATGGCTCTGAAAAGCTTAAATCATTCAGGTCCCTGCCACTGTAAGACATGCTCTTCCACCATTTCACTGTAGCAACTGCAGCTCGTAGAGAGGAGTCAATCGTCAGTCCTAAAAAATGAACTCGTAAAGACCAGGGATCATCATCAGCAAGCTGCTTCCAGGGAATCACCAAAACAATTCAGCAATCTTTCATGCAGTGTCTATCCTTGCTTAGGATGTCTAAAAAAACCTGTATTAGTTATTTGTGAATACATTAACTCCTAGTGCCAAGACACTAGGATGATGGGCAGCCTGAAATGTGGATAATACTTACACCAATGCATTAAATCTTCCTGAAGCCTAACCACAGTCAGGACTACGCTTACATAGCAGTTTCTCACTGTGCTGTTTTTCCCTTCCCAGGGTTCCTCAACAGCGTCCTCCCACTCCGACTGTCAGCAGTTTGACTGGCAGCATGGTGGGTGCAAGGTCAGAGGGCTGCATCTCACCCCTCTGGGTACCTGAAAACCACAAAGACAGATGTGTGTGTTCAGTTGCCAGCTGGAAGAATCACAGCTACTCATGTGATGCCCAGGCAAGATGATACAATCAGCACATTGGTGCTTCTTAGCCCAGTAAATTCTTTACCTGTCCCCCTGTGCCAAGAGCAGTCAGGAAAATAGATGCTATTAGGGGAGCGATGAAAAGCATGGAACGAACCTTAAAGACATAGAAAACTTCATGTCACAAAAATCACAAAGCTCGTTGGCTCTCATGCCTGTCTTTTCCCGAGCAGTGCAGAATAACCACTTTTTTGGGCATACTGCCTGCCCAGGATTATGCCAAAGAGAATCTCTGGGGAAGGCTTGTCACAGTCACCCTGCAGATTTCCACTTTATCTCAGCACAGCTGTTCCCATCCTGACCTACTAGCCTGATTTCTTGCTGACTTGTTACTGTGAATGCTATTGCAGGGATTCCAGATGTGGAGGAGCCCATCCCACAGCACACACTGCACCTTCATCCCTTCCTCTCCGAGCCTCCCAGTGACTGCACACAGCCAGCTCAGGTCTCACTAACGGAGAAAATGGCATTGGTCCCAGACAAGCCAAAAGACCCACATCCTTTTTCTTTGAACAGTTTGCAAAGTATTCCCAGAGTTTTGCCATATTTAGTACGATCTCCAAGACAGAGGAAAGTGCCTGTATTATACCAGGTAGGGACATCCCTGGTCCCTTCTGTTGCTATTAAACTGCTACTTGGATCCAGTTCCTTACTTTATGCTCAGCATAGCTCAAGGCTTCGCTTTGCAGTTCTTGAAGTTTGTTCAACTGTTTGTCATCCACAGTCTCCTCCCCTTCTGTCAAGCAGCCATCTATCATGCCTTCCTTATTGAGAAAAACTCTCTACTTTCCTTTCTTGTTTACTATCTTTTACTATCCTATTTGCCTTATACAGTAATGACTTACATGCAGGAAAATGATTCAAAGCCACAATGTTTCTGAAACCAGAGACAGTCTGAACTTTTGAGATAATCGGGAGGAAAATCAGACTTTAGATTCAACGCACCTGGGAGAAATAACCCCTCTCTATTTCTTGCTGCATCAGAACCAACTGTCCCCACCACATGAAGAAGTGACCTGGATGATGGATAGCAGTATAACTTGTGTGTCAGCCTAATGGATGCTAAGGACAGTGCTACTGTTGTCCTGCAAGAGTATTTTGAGGGCAGCCTTCTTAACCTGTACCAGCAGAAATGGTGACATGGATTATTTTTCTTTCTCTTGAGATGAGGTATACTAAAGAACATGAAGGAAGATGAGCTCACTTCCTACTACATCACTAAAAGCATTTTCAAACGATTTATAAAGCTGTGCGAGCACACAGAAGCCACTGTACACTCAGCAGTAACTTACATGTATTTCAAGATGTTTAACTCTGATGCTGCAAATAGTTCTGTGAACTTCAGTACCTTGCCCGAGACGAGTGGAAGGGAACCTGAGTTTGATTTTTCACCCAAAGGGATGCCAGCTCTAACAGGGTGGAGCTGGGAGGAGCTGAAGCTGTTTGGCACACAGGTATGTGCCTGTTCTGGGCAAAGGCAGCAGAACTCAGTGCTCCGATGGGAGCTGCTGTGCACTGCTGGAGCATGGCACCTTCCCTCCCTGAAGCAAGTCTCAGAAAAAGCTGCCCAGCCAGCGGCCGGCTGAACGATGCCTGGTGCCTCTCTTCCCTCCTGGCTGCCCGACTGCTGAGCAGCTCCTTGTTTGAACCTGGGATGGCAACGGATGGGAGAAACTGCTTTCAAACTGTTTAATAACAGTGATGGTAACCTTTGACCCTGCTGAATAGCAGCGCTTTTGACCTTTCATTTGTTAAATAATACAACCACTTACTTTCCGATCCTTATCAGTGTTTAGTAATTGGGGTCAAGACAAAGCAAAGCAGAGTACAGTTACCCACCAGACTTTACTGAACCAGGAAGAATTTCCTTAAGCTATAGATTTCCTTTTTGATAATCTTCAGTCAAGACAGGCAAAGACTGGAGACTGGGTGGCTTAGAAGATCCATAACAGGCTAAAGAGCCTCTCAGCTGTTAGCATCTGGTTTGAATCCAGCTGTGGTTGACAGTGGCAGAAATTCATTATGGTCTCAGGTTGCCTCTCTGACTCTTATGAAATGAGTTTGGCTTGCAGTTCTACTGTTTACTGGCCGGATAATAGCCATAACATAAAATATTAACACAGGGTTCTAGAGGCATTGGTGATTAAATGGATTTTAGAAGCCTGAAAATTCCTATTCCCATAGAGAAAATCAGACTATGGCACAGTGGTAGGTGACAGCATGGACAAAAAGTTTGCGGTCACTCCTGCGTGTTCTGCACGATTCACATCAAAGAGAGGTGGTTAATGTTGAGGAATCTGAGTCGCTTTTTGTGTGGTGTTAAGTAAAACTAATGGGTCACATTGTGTGCTGTACAGCTCATTAAACATCTCACTTGACAGACAAGCAGGTGACGACTGTTACAGGCAGCGGTCCCAGGATCAGTGTTTTCCTTAAAAGTGAACAGGAAACGGATGAAAAAGAAATCCTAGAATTTATGACGTGACAATGGATTGAAACGTAAGTGCACACATATATTTATTTATATAATGCACATATATAAAAGCTTAAACTTCCTAAAGACGTCAAACAGAAATTCTATTTGTCTAAGCAGCTGCACAATCTCATTACTTATTTATTGCATTTTGTATTAAACCAGATTGCAAGATTTTTAGGGCAGGAGCTGCTTTCATGGATGTCTGTCTGTACGTGATTCAGCACAATGAGCCCCCAAAGAGTGATCCAATGCTGCCATTTATAAATAAGCCATTTATTTATAGAGGTACATGAGCTAGGTAAGATCTGTAAAAATGACACTAAGTAGTGAGATTCAGAGGGGGTTTTTTTGCTGCTGTTCATGTAAGAAGTGAGGAAAATGGAGCCCTTTGTGGTATCCCAGCTAAGGTGCAATACAATTGTATGCCCTCCTGCTTTGGAGGACTTACCTTTGGATTTAGGCCTCTTGAAATTGAGGAACAGCTATGCAGGACAGCCACCCCTAACTGCATTCTTAATGGGTTGCTGTGCTGGTCAGTCTCTGGGTCTCGGGACAGGGTTAGCTTTACACAGGACTAGCACAGCCAGATCTGCCGGCACAGGCAGCTGCCTGCAGGCTCTCCAGGGCCCTGCTTTCTCCTTCGTTGCTCTAGAGGCAGCCCGCGGCTGA